AAAATATATGACTGAGTGGTTTTGTGGCCTGATTCTCTTCTCTGTGTGCATAATAAATTCCTGGTACCTTTTTAATACTGAAAACCTGCAATAACTGTTTCTTGTCTGGAATATTTTCCTCTAACGACAGTTACCTGTAGTGTCATCACATGAATAAATAAAATAATTCAGTTTTGACTTTACAGTTTACTGCTTACCCAGCAGCAACTGAAAGGCTTTCACAGTGATTTCCTTCCAGATTGTATTCTGCCCCTGTCGTCTGTTGACTTCCCTATCACACATTCAGCTGCTAGTTTATGTCTCCTGCTCTGTTAGTTACATCTGTCTTCAGAAGAAGAGGCACTTGAGAAAGACGTTCATAGGTGGCTGCCAACATACCCCAGCTGATTATACCTTATTGGATGGTTAGCCTTTGGTGTCTGGCTTATGGCACTGGTGTTCTGGAGTATCTTCCAAACCATGACCCATGTTTGTTCGAGGTCTGTTATTGGTTTTGTCTGTGTTCCCAGGAGAGCGGAAGGTACCTGACCTCAGCCTGTATGTTAATTTGTTCAAGCTAATAAGCATTGCTATTGTGACTTGCCCCTCTGGATGTCTGCCTCCCTTGGCCTGAGCCCGTTCCTATGATGGCGTCGGCTGCCTGCTGTGACTTACAGGTCACCATAGAGAGCATAGGGGCTGTCAGTGACCAGCTGTGTAATGGGTATCAGGAGAACCTTATGTCTGTACCAGGATGCATGAGCTCAGGGGATCTCTGGGGCTGCCTTCATTCTGTTGACACTGAACAATCCTCAATCTGACTGAAGTGGAGCAGTGAGGCAACTTAGCACCATGGGGAAGTACTTTAACTTACAGAACAGCCTACATCATTCTTCTGTCTCCCAGGCATAATAAAAATGGGGCATCTAAAGTGCTGTGAAGCTGATGCAGTGCTGCTCTGCAGAGTGCTGCCATCCTTCATTCCCTTCACCTACTGAGCCATATGCTGGGTGGGCTCTTGTGTCTTTGGTTGCCAGAGGTGCTTTTGCTTTCCTGTGTCACATTAAAGCCATGCAAATAGTTTCTATAGCAACAGGTCTTTTTGCTTAGCTCTGACGCAAAATCCTGAAAGGTCTTTCTCATTCTGTCTTCATCCAATTCTGATATTTGCTTTTATCAACTCTTTTTGAAGATAAAGGGAAAAGAATTAATTCTGCTGTTTTAGTAGTTAACTTGCCGTAGAGTTGACTATTCAGTTTTAAGAGCTCACTGAAGTTTCTATACCAGGACTTGAGCTCTGTGCTGAAGGAAAAATCAGCTGGAATAGTCTGGAGAGTGCCCTGACTGTATGTAAAATATTTGGTTTTGTTCCCCTCTTCCCAGCCATATATTTTAATTTGGATCTTAGCTTCTAATTAACATGATATGTCTAGGCATAAGGCCTTAAGCAGTGAATTCCCTTAGCTTTTCTGGGGTGGTGGAAAATGAAAATAGGGATATTTGCAGTCTCTTTTGGCTTAGAGAAAGGGCTTGGTGGCAGCATTTGGGCACAGCTGTCACTGACAAAAGCAGAGTGAAGGGAGGTGTGACTGAGAGGCCAAGGGATGATACATGAACATGCTCATCTTCTTGCTAGCAGAGGAGATGCTGGTCCTATCCTACTGATGTGGATGATTACGTAGGTGGTACTTGGAGGGAGCGAAAGTGTTGCTTCATTTGAGAGGAAGAATTTCCTTTTTCTGTTAACCACGTAGGCTGTTGAGGAGCCCATCTGAGCTTCAGGTGCCTTGCTTTGTCAGGAAACCAAGCTAGCAATACTTACTTCAAGCCCTCCTTCCCTCTAAAAGCCCTGTAGACTTTTACGTTTTTGCTTCAAAGATTCTGGTGCCACAGGAGGAAGGGATGGGGAAGATGCAGATGCATTAAAAAGGCAGGTGAGTATTTTAAAGCTGAGAAACACAGCCAGTGTAACAGCCACATCGTTCTGTGTGAACTGGGACAGGGCTGGGGAGAGACAATGTGACTTCTGGGTCTTGCCCTGATTGGCAGAAATAAATGTTTTGGGCCTCCAAATGAAAGAATGGCAAAAGAGGCCTGAATTTGTCCTCAGCTTTGCTTCTGGCCTGGTTAATCTGAGGCCCTGTTTTCCTCTTCTGTCCTCTCAGCTCTGTTAAGTTCTCCAGAACATGTGCTGCAGGATGCAGACTGAGCTTCTCTGGGCTCTGTTTGTGGCTGTTGCAAATTGAATGACAGGCACATACAAAAAGGCAGATGAAGTTAGATAAAACGGTATTGCCTCCCTGCACAAAGTGTTTGAGTGCCTGCCAAACAAGTCTCCCCTCTGTAATTACTGAAAAGAGCTGCTGCAGTGGGATGTAGCACAGCATCTTGTCACAGCCCTTATACCTACCTCTTTGTCAACTCAAGGCTTGGATTTCAAAGGGGGAGGTATAGGCATAGGCAGGCTTCAAGGAGAAGAGCCTTATGAAGTATGAGCAGGAGGGACTGGAGCAGGATCGGGGTAACTCTCGCTCTCTTAACATCATGGTCATTTACTCAGGTAGTGGCCTTCAGTCTCACATCTTGTTTTACCTTTGTCTCCCTGTATCACCTAGCAGTTGTGAAGGGGTTACCGGAGGGGCTAACCCTAATCAGGTTTCTGCCTTTACGGGCTCTGGCCCTCCTTTGCCAGGAGTAACAAGTGCTGACTTAAAATCAACATGCTTCAGGCACAACTGCAGAGGTTGTGCAGCTAAGCAGGTATCATCTGTGCTAGGGTGCAAAATTGGCAAGACCCTTATGAATGAGAAACGTGAAGCATCCCCCAGCTCTGTGGTTATATTAGCACACAGATCTGTTTGTCTCCATGATACAGCATGGCTCTTCAGCGTTCCCATGATAGGGTTAGGTTCCTTAGATAAAGTTTGTAAGGATCTATTAATACATGTTTTATATATAAATCAGTGTGCATATGCATATATGTGTAGATATATGAGACATCATGGCTGAAGTACCTTCTGTTGTAGCTTTAGCCTTGTGCTGTGTCACACGTTACCTCAACTTTGAATGAGAGCATGGCTGTGTTTGATTGTTCTGAACAGTCTGGTTTGAGAGCGTGCTGACATAAACCCGTATCTGACATTGGACTCTGATACACTCTTGGCAAGGCTGGTATGAGCCAAGCTGTGGTCTGATAACAGCAGCAATCACTCTGGAGATGCTCTGTGGCTCTGTTTGGATTTTGTTTTAATAATGCTGGGCATAGTAGCAGGTTTTGTGAAAGCACTGTTTGCCTTTCTGCTGTAGAAATGGCACAGCTGCAGAGTGCTGCAGGAGGGGGCTAAGAACCCAGACAGCTGTTCTGTCTCCACTTCCCTCTCCTCTGAGCCTGCTCTGGTTTGGATTCTGGCTATTTCTGCTGAATTCATAGTTATACAACCACATGATACTCCCATGTAATCAGAATTCTTGCCAGCTTGGTGTAAACCAGGCTTTGAAATTTGAAGAACAAAATCATGAGCCTTTACAGAGTTGTTTCCTGGGCTCCTTCATGCTCCTTATTCCTGCTCTCTGACCTGATCAAAAGCCTTCTGGGGTTCAGCTTTGCTGTCTTGCAGGTTGCCAGCCATTCCAGGAAAGAACATGCATCGCAGGCAGAACATCTTGTGCACAGTTTCCAGGGTTACCTGTGTAGTGCCGATAGCAAACAGGAAATTAAAATGCTCCATGATGATGATACATTATTGACAACAGATGGTGGCCATTAGGTGTACGTGCGTGTCAGGGGAAGGCATAAAGGCAAGTAGAGCAGACATGACTATTAGATTTGTGTAATTGCCACTGCAGGTGCTGAGCTCCACTGTGAATGAAGCAGGGCAGTCCCTGAGCACCTGGTTTCCTCTGGTCCTGGTGTGTGTGACTTTGGTTCCTGGAAGTAACTCCAAGTTGTCGGTGTGGCTTCAAGCTGATTTGTTTTCAGAGTTTCTTGTTCTGATTATCAGCCCTTCTGTACAGCTTGTTCTCTCTTGCTATTCTCCCTAATCTCTCTCTTCTATACAGCTGTTCTCTCTTGTCCTTCAAAAGGCTTGGTCTCTTGAAACTGTTCTACTTTTAACCTCTCCAAGCATGGTCCAGATGCCCACAATCTTTGTGAAGACTATAGTTATCTGCTGTAATTTGTGTCAGGATTGCTAGGGGGCTTGTCAGGGGACTGCTGAATCTGGAAAATCAACTGAGGATCTGTCCTGCTAAGTTTTGAGACTAGCAGAGTGTCACGTTATGTATTCCTTTTCTTAGTGAGCTATCTCTTCTTCCTTCTGTCTTTGTGGGTTTCTCCACTTCAATTATGTTAACTCTGAGATGTGGAATTAGGCCCGAGTATGCATATGCATGCCTGCTTTCAGTTTTGGACAGTGAATTACTCCCTGATCTGTGCACACAGATCTGTCTCTTCAACTTTTGTCTATGCCTAAGCAGCTGCTGGCTGGTGTGCTTCAGGATGAAATAAGAGTATCTTATTTCAGTGCAGAGCTTCCTTGAAGACAGTGATGCTGGTGTTGAAGTGTTTGAAGAAACTGCTGTGATGGCTTAGCTTTTCTCAAACCTCAGGCTCAGTTTTGCTTGTCTTATGTGGAAGCACTAATGGAAGCCCATTTTTGAGGCGTCCTCTCCTCTTCAGCACTGGCTTTATCAGCTGTAGTCTTGCTTTTAACATGTCAGTAATTCTGCAAAGACTAGACTTACTTTAATCTGGGCTCAAACTTATTTAAATAAAACACTGCAGACTGCCTTCTAGTGTAGCCTGTGTAGGTTTGACATAGCACTGTGGCAATTGTATGACCATATGCAAACCGAAGCATACTTGTGACGTTAGTCTTTACTTGCCTCCTGTATCCTAACCCTAAAATCTGTAGTACTGAGGGAGCTGTGCTCTTGCTACAAGCATTCTCAGACACTGGCTGGAAGAACTTTCCATGCTTGTGTGTTTATTTTTATTTTGTAATTTGAATCTTTAATTTCAGATGTTCTGAATGACGCCATCTTTGATGAAGATCATGATGAGATGGTAATTGTGAAGGACATAGACATGTTCTCATTGTGTGAGCATCATCTCGTTCCATTTGTTGGAAAGGTAACTCTTCCTCACAAAATAAATGTGGGAATATATGATAAAAGACCTAAAGTACATGTAAAAGACTTTTCGTAGCTGTAACTACAAAGCTTTTAAAGCTCTAAGTATTTACTGCTTATGGCTATGATTCTAGAAGTTAATCTTCAGAATACAAATAAGAAAGACCTCTTTAATGTGAGTTTTATTTGAATTTAAGCTCCTAAAATATAATGCTCAACCTTTCCTAGTCTAAGTAATCTAATGGTTTCTGACATTTAATATCAAAGCTCTTCTTCATGAAGCAGCAGCAAGCCTTGAGGGCAGACATCTTGCTATTAAACCAGCTCACCCTGCACACTGGCTCTGTCACGGATTTAGCTTCTGGCTCAGAGCTATCTAGCGCACATTCACCTTGGGAACCCCCCACGAGCAGAACAAACTTCTGATTAGTAGCCCTGTCTTAAATAAATGAGCTCCATCAGGGAGGGGGTGGTCAAAATTGGCTACCAGGAGGGTGCTTAGATTGGGACTCCCATGAAAGGGGCTGATGTTCCAGAAGGTGCTGAAATTGTGATGCCAACAACTTTAAAAGTAAATAAAAATTCTTAAGTTAACCACTGTAGACATGAAGTGTTCAGAGTGGGTAGTCCCTTCTGCACGTTTCAGCCTCTTCACCCCCATATTGCCACAGAAGGATGGAGCTTATTCTGATCCATCTGTTACATTATAAAGTACTTACAGGCCAGGGAGTAGCAAATGCTTTTGTTGTCTATAAAATTCAATCAGTACCACATATGCTCCAAGTAAACTGTCTCCCGAAAATAAAACACCCTAACAGAAACCAGCCATTTATTTAGTTGAGTCAACTCAATTTCATCTATTTTTTCTCACTGTTAGTATTTTATACTGGAAAACAAGGTAACTTTTTCTGTGCAAGCTTTCTATTTTACCTATTACCCTCTTTGTTACTCTGGCGGCAATATATGCGTTCTTTTTACATCTAGCTGTTTAGCCTGTGTGGTTTGGAGAAATCTCCTCGCAAACACCGAATCGGTCCTGCTCGTATAATGGTCTGCTAAATGACTTGGTATGCCTCTAAATATTCTCAGACTAACCATTCTCCTGTTGGGTACATCAAACAGGCTGCAAATACTGACCAGTAGGTCTTGAATTTGCAGTTCCATCTTAAATGAAATTAAGAAATTCATGAAAACACTCAATGGGGAACAGGATTCAACATTTGCTTCTAAGTTATGTCTCTCACTTTGAAATGTTTTGTGTCTTCTCAGGTGTCAGTAGGTTGATTACCCAACAGAAGTGATAGGAATGAGCATGTTAGCCAGGTAATTAGGTGCACTGTGATACCTCTGACTGCAGATACAGCAATATAGGATTCTGAGAGGGGGCCTCTCAGGAAAGCACTCAGACAGAATCCTACACTGACACTCCTCTACTGTATCTTGGCTAATCTTTCAAGTCTTTGGTACAGTGACACAATGCTAGTTTATAATGATATAACTGTAAACCCACTTGAATTCATAGCCTATGCTGCTTTCTAAAACCAAGAAGCTAAATGCCTTTTCCCCCAGATACCTTTGTGTCTGAGCACTTTTCTACTAAACTTATTCAAACTTAGTGCAACTGTGTTTAGTATGGATATTCAGGAAATCCATATCTGAGTAGGATGGAAGTTGTCTTAATTGCACAGTGATGTATGGTACTACCAAAGCAGGGGAAAAAAACCCAAACAACAGTAAGTGCAGCCTGACTGGTGGCAAAGTACAATCCCTTTCCCTTCCACTCCCTAAATCCATTTTAGGTTTTGAAAGAAAAGCATGTTTATTTTAGATGAATAGTGCTGTGCTGAGTAATAGACTGCTTTTTGTACCCAAATGTAGTAGCATTCCTGAGACTTGGAACATGAGCCTTGACTCTTGAAGAGTTGTGATTTTTCTCCCCCTCAGAAAACTTAGTTGTTCTTCACCAGGACACTGACCTCTCCAGGCATTTACAGTCTGTTAGCTCCACAATTTTTCAGGCTTGCATGGTGGCATGTTCCTCCCACATGCTAAGACTTCTGGACTGTTCCGTAGTTCTGGAACAAATGCACATCTCATTCTCTGTGCATGAGTTCATATGCTTTTGGAAGTGTGGTTTTGATTTTGTTAATGGTTTGTTCTCCTGTCTAGGTACATATTGGCTATCTTCCTAACAAACAAGTACTTGGCCTCAGCAAGCTTGCTAGGTAAGTGTTAATGTAATGAAAATGATGCTAATTTGTAAAAAGGATCCCAAGCTGTGCTAACTGTGCTAATCTTTCTAATCTGGTCCCCCTTTAAAGATCAGCTCAGTTTGTGTCCTGGATTTGGATTTAGACCAATCCTCAGCATTATGTTTTTTATGGAGAGGACAGATAAGTCTTGCAGCTCTGTGTTAATTCACATCGGTTGACTGTAGTAGAGCTGTAGTGCTTTTGTATGTGCATCCAAAGCACTGGTGTCTGCAGGAAGCACTGGCACAAGAACAACAGAGAATTTGGTCGTGTTTTAAGGCAGGCCACAAAAACCAATGGGGGTCTCTAGCTATTTGATTCTTGTGTGTATATTGACTGATAAGAACACAAATCCAAGACTTCCACACTGCAAATGAGCACACTCTGGATAGAAACTGAATCTAAAGCTTTCATCTGTTGGCTGACTTCAGATAAATTTGACATTTCTTTCTTTCACTCAAGACCTGCTGAGAGTGCCTGAGAAACAAAGCAATTACGATACACTTGAGAAATCCATTTGTTACACAAAATAGCTTTTTCCTCAACTGGTTCCTTTTGGATCAGTTGTTGCACTGAATCTTGTTACAAAGTGATACCCTCTCCTTCTGGTGAGGAAGGGGATGGTAGATTCCTTCAATAAGCACATTACTGGGGACCAGAGTGGAAGGGTTTCTTGAGAAACGAATCTGAAAAGTTGGCTGTAGTTCAGAAAGTCCACATAGGTTTTGCTTATGCTTCCTCTGATATGTCTGTTAATCTTGCTGCAGTTCCAGTAATACTAATGAGAATTAGCCTTGTAAATCTCCGTGCCTGCTGGGTTTCTTAGCAGGTAAGAAATGGGTAGGGTATGACATTACAGTGCTTTAAAGTCAGCCCTGTTCTGTGCTCTGCTTGCACCACAGTGAATTTGGTTTGGAAGAAGGACCCTTGGAGGTCACATCTTTGTTAAGGTAACAAATTGCAGGGAGGCTATCTTCTTGTCTAGTGCTTATGGGAATGGACTTTTCTCTGATTAAAAGGCTGAAACTGGCAGTTTGACATTTAAATCTTTTCCTACTTTTTTTCTGTGGCTGTACCTAACTGCTGAAATTGTAGGATGAGGTTCTAAGATCAGCACTGCAGTTGCTGGGCAAAAGACTGCCTTCTGTACCTGCTTGCACATGGAGATGTCTGTGTGGCAGTTCATGGCTTGTGTGCTGGTTGGCACTCATGAGGATGGATCTTTTTAAGTGGTGTGGGGGTTTTTTATTGGATTTCTGAGGGTGAACATCCTTGCTGAAGAGATTGTTTTTAGCACTTGGTTTCATTTCTGCAGGGCTTGAATGCAGGATTAAGGATCACATTTGTCATGTGCATCTGTTGATTTGTGCTTGTTCTGGTCTCTTGTTACCTCTAAACTGCAGGTGTAAAGAAGAGCTTGAAACTGTGTTTGGTGATATTTTTAGTATTTTTTTTTTAATGCAAGTGGCAGCACTGTGCTAGGAGTGCACAATTTCCCTACTGTTTATCCTGAGTATAGAAACGTGCATGAATATGTGAAAGGCTTTCTGCACTGTGCTTGAAAGGTTAAATCTTGCCTCTTTTTTTAAGGGTAAGACTCCTGTATACTGCAATAATGAGAAGATTAGATTCTTGTATAACAAAATGTTCTCAGTCCTCACTTGCTTTTGTGTGCTTACCATGAAAAGATTGGCGGGCCAGATAGTGCTTTCCTTTTGTGCCCTACATAATGCAACCAGTGTTCAAACAAAGATTTGTGGTGCTGCTGGTACTGTAGGCCTAATCTTTCGTAATAGGCTTAGTCTAATATGGTGAGTTTCTGGAGTTGTGGATGACCTGTATTCAGTAAACAAACATATTTCTTTGAATTTTAAGTTCAGGCTTGAAAATGTTAATGCAAAGAATTGTTTTTACATAAACATGCTTATAGGACTTATTACATGTAACAGCAGTATAAAAACACCTGACCATTAGTTTGTTTCCTATCCATATATTTTATCTAAATATTATGTTGCTTTGTTTAGAATAGCTGTAACACAACCATTTCATTTCTGGAGGGGAGTCTTCAGCATAAGTCTCTCTCCAAAGCAGCAGGCAAGTCTCATTGTCCGAAATGTTTCTTGTAACTGATGCCTCAGGCTGCTAGCCAGTGTCTGTTTTTTGTCTAGCCTGATGAGATGGGTTTTGAAGCTTTCTATAGCAACTTCTTTACGTGGCCACTTGATGTGTAATTAAACATTTGAGGTTGGCATGAATAACCCATTGATTTACAGAGCAGTTATAAGACTTCTTTCTTAAATGTGGGGATTTCAGGGCTGTGGCAATAAACAATGGTAGTATCACTTGCACTGCCCCACAAATGGCTTGAGTTTGAAGTCCTGTTCAAGGAGAGTATTAAGGTGGTCTTTGCATTGAAATGTGAAGGATGGTGTGATACATGGGTGGAAAGTATCTGTTTTAAATAAAAGCTGTTCTGTCTCATTGTTCTTAGTTAAATTTGTGATTAAATGCAAGAATCCAAAGCATTTCTTGCTTAATTTCAGTAGCCTTCTGGGAATCCCAATATCTGAATTGTCCTTAAAACAGTGTTTGGTTTAGATTGGAGCAGAAGGAGGTAGTCTGACCTCAGTTCAAGGATTAGCTTTCAGGGGGTCTTTGGGCATGGATTCCCATGCAACTGTGTAATTACAGGGGTGTGGTGGTACAAGTAGTTCAAAAGTAACAGTAAATAGAAGCAGCTCTTAAAAGAAATGGCAGATTTGCCTCTGAAATACCCTCTGGGTAAGGAGAACCTGTCAGTAAACACAGTGATGTGCTGAGGGATGTCCTGAGCAATGCCAGCCAGCACTGAGCAGCAGTGTGATGTTGCACAGATTTCCAGGAAGGACACGGATCAGTACAGTGGTCTTGTTTGGTAGTGTCAAGTTAATTGTGATGATCAGACAATGGTCAGATAGGTATAACTATAACATTGTCTTTTTCCTTTCAGGATTGTGGAAATATACAGTAGAAGATTACAAGGTAAGCAGATGAATTTTTGGCTTTGTGTGCACTCCTTTGCTAGCCAGCTCACAGCACTGGTAATTGTAGGTGGACTACAGCTGTGCAAATCCTAATGTGACAAACCCCACTGTGTTGTTGAGCAAGTGTTTCTCATCTGTCATCTTCCTCAGCCTTTGCATTTCCAGTGAAGGGTAACATATGCCTATGAAAATAGTTGTAGCCAGTAACTGATTCAGGGAGTAAATGTGCTACAAGATACGGCTGTCACGAATAACTAAACTAGTTGGATGCTGCAGGAGGTGAACTCTCCTGCAGATAGTTTGAGAGATGCCTTCAAGAATTCTTGTTTGCAAAATCATAGAATATCAGGTTAGAAGGGACCTCAGGGATCATCTGGTTCAACCTTTCTAGGCAAAGCATGACCTAGATTAGATGTCTTGGCACCCCATTGAGCCAAATATTAAGTGGCCAGTGTTGGGGAATCCACCACTTCCCTGAGGAGATTATTCCAGTGGCTGACTGTTCTCATTGTGGAAGATTTTTCTCTTGTGTCCAGTTTTGGATAGTGGGGACCAAAACTGAACACAGTATTCCAGGTGTGGCCTGACAAGTGCTGAGTAGATGGGACAATGACGTCTTTATCTCTGCTGGTGATGCCCTTGATGTAATCCAGCATCCTGTTGGCTTTCTGAAAGAGATGAAGTGAGAGCTGCTATGTTATGGACTGCCTGCCTGCTATCCTTGAGAAGTGGAGGAAGCTGCAGGATCTGAGGCCTTGGACTGGGCTCAGCCTGCTCTCATTCTGCAGTTAAATTTGGCCTGTTCTTGGTGACAGAAGTCTCAGTGACCATTAGGTGTCAGACCGGTGGGTAGGGAGTGCTAGAGCTGCAGGAAGTTAAGCTTTGCAGGACATTAGGCTCCCTTAATTTGCTCATTTTCTGATCTTCATTTCCTTTTCTTAGAAGGAGAAATTGTGTGTAGGAAAAAAAAATAATGCAGCAGTAAAGACAGTGAACAAATATATTAAAGTTGAGAAAAAATAGAGAAGCAAGAAAATCTAACTGCATAGTAGGAAATGTAAGAGCTATTGTAACAAATCATGGTAGTGTAATTCCTGCAAAGGTATAGTGCAAAATGACTCCCAGTATAACCAAGCCTATTAAAGGTCTGTTCAAGGATTAAAAACATAAGATAGGGTTTGGTACTAATAAAATTTACTTAGGAAGAGCAATATTTGTGTATGGGTAGTGGGGAACAGGCACCCTTGGAAGTGAGGATACAATGTTGCTGTCCAGATAGTGGCTGTGCATGGATGCTAGTCAGATTTAACACTGCTTCTGAACACCCTGATGTTCTTTCAGTCCAGGAACGCCTTACCAAACAAATTGCAATAGCCATCACAGAAGCCTTACAGCCCGCTGGAGTTGGAGTGGTTATTGAAGCTACGTAAGTTACTCAGAGCTGGTCCGTGGTAGTGTATGGCCTGTGTGTGATTCCAGCTGTGTGCTGCAGAGCTGCTGTGTGTTGCCTCTTCGGCTGTGGTAGCTGTGTGCTGTGCTTGTTTACAAAGCAGAGTGTGTAACAACAACAGTAGTAATAATCCTTGCCCATAAATACGGCCCAGTGGGTTGGAGCCATTTAAAGTGGGGCCTACCTGCTCTGTTGCAGTGTGATCAGCTGTCCCAGCTGCACCGGGTCTGTGCTCTGCCTCAGCACACCTTCTGCTTCCTCAAGTAGAGCAAAGCCTGGGACTAGCAACAGGCATGTCCTCATCGTCAGAGTACACCTTAGAAAGGTGGGATTTCTCCTAGGATTAGAGGAGAGAAGGCAGCATTTGGGGGCTGGGAATTTGACTTTCTGTTCTGTAGAGGACAGCTGAGGTACTACTGACAGATGTCCATTCTGGATATGGAGGTTTTGTCACTTCCCCAGAATTTAATGTGACCATGTAAGAAATACTGTCTTTGTGGGATTCTTTCTTTTGAGTATGCCTGATTTATTGACTCCCCTCTCATTTCTTCCAGGCATATGTGTATGGTAATGCGTGGGGTACAGAAAATGAACAGTAAAACAGTAACCAGCACAATGTTGGGAGTATTCCGGGAAGATCCAAAGACCCGTGAAGAATTCTTGACACTCATCAGGAGCTGAAACTGTGTTATTCTCTAAATGCACTCTGGAGATTTTGTCCAGTGTCACTGTCTGTTCTTACTTGTTCCTACATCTCACTTTTAAACTAAATCGTTGTGAATTGTTGTCATAGTCTTTGTGCAGTAAAAGACTTCTGATGGCAAATGAAAAATGTAATGATGAAGTAGGTTCCTCCTGGATTTCCAGTGATGCTGATGTCACAGAATTACAAGCAACGAATAGGGTTTTGGAAGTTTTTCATCCACAATGCAGAATATTCTGCTCTTAGGAGAAAAGTGGGGCTTGGGAGTGAAATGGATATTTATAAAACAGCTGTGTTTGTTAGAATAGATGTGGAACAGCACAGGAAATGATTGAAAGGCTGTGGATCCTTGTAGGACCTCTTATGCTGCAAATACTGCACCTCTGCTGAAAAGTGTGCTCCTGAATTATCTCTGACTATATTTTGTTACAAGTCCTGCAGTGGCTGTTTAAAAATCTGGATGTGTATGTTATACCTCTTTGAGATTGTTATGTCTGGTGGTGTTTTATATTCTTGCTAGTATTAACCCTCCTTTTTTGTGTGTGTGTTTTGTGTTTTTTGTTTAAGAAACTTAAACCACATTTGTCCTAGCCTCTTAACGTGCAGGGAATTAACTTCTCAGTTATTTGAGGCACATTCTTATCTCGGTATACAGCATTTTATGCACCTTCTTGTCTGTGCCTCAGAATCTCTGACCACTTTTAACTGTTAGTTTCTTACTATTTTTAAGCAAACTTTAACAGGGGGGAGGGAAAAAAATCCAGAGTCTATGAAGCGCTAAGAGATCCGAAGAGGTTTTTAATGATATTTATATCTTGAGCTTTCCCTCTTGGATTTCTGTGGGTTAGACTGAGAAGCTGAAAGCAGTCTGGTAATCTGAAAATGAAGATTTCAAACACTTCAAGATTTGCATCTCATAAATGTTGGACCAAAGGTGAGCGCTGAAATCCTGAGCATAGCACGTTGTACCTCTTCTGCTTGACAGCAGGTCATTTCAGGGCAAAGTAACCTGAAATGACAACAACTTATTTTGTAAGAGCAATTGAGAAAAGCATTTCCAGGGCCATCAAAGTGAATTCAGCCTCATTTTTCTGTGTATGTGGCAACCTCTGTATGTGGCAGTATTGGTACAAAAAGTTTCAGTCAGCTGGACTTGGCTGAACTTCTTATACTTTGTTATGATTTTAATGGGTGTTTTGTAACTCTTAATTGGGAAAACATGAGGCGCAAATGAAAACCACCCTTCCCAAACTAGGCACAGGAGGCAATAGTTAAAGAATAAAATGTCAGCCAGGGTGTCAGATGCCCACAGAGAAGGTTCCCATAGTCATATCTGCTTTGGTGAATATGAATCCAAGATGTTCTGTATGTGAACCTGAAAGACAGTTCCTGGTCTGGCAAGCTCCATCTTACCAACATTCCTGCCTCTTGCTTCAACCTGTGTTGGAAATGGAATGGAAATAATGTCTGATCAAATTTCCATTGGGCCTAAAGAACTCTCAAGAGCAACAGCCTCATGTGCTTAATTACACTAATTTCACCCTGATGACCTTCACAGTATTATTGGAAAAAATCTTTTATAATATCCTCTGTTCTGGATTCTGTAGAGTTAAGTGCTGTAACAGTGTTTGTCTGCTAGTGTAAACAAGCTGTGTTTGCACATTTGTAAAATACACTAAGTCTATGGTATTTGTTTTCCTGAAATGGTTGAGAGCAGATATTGCCACTTTCTGGTTCAGTATATGTTTCAAATACCCAGCTGAAAAAGCCTTAAATCTTTCTTGCCTGAAGTTCAGAGTAAAACTCTCTCTTTAACTCAACAACAGGAAAGAGAATTTGAGGACCAAAGGGGCACACACTAGTATATTTGTATCTCTTTGCTTGCTTTAGTTTGGAAATCAAGTCTCTGTAAAACACTGTCTTGCTCCTGAGGTAAGGGAAAGGTTGTGTTTTAACCACTTATCTCTATTCAGGATAAAGTTCGCATTGCACCACCACTGTTTTTTATTTCCATGTGACCTGTACCCCTTAAAACATACCTCTCTATACTTGTGGCCTTGGATTTTGCTCACATTGTTGTTGTAAGACTTGGTGCATTTTTTGGAACATTAGCATTGTTCAAATACACAAGCTTTAACTACACCTGGTGTGTATGTATGTCTAGTATGTACAGCCTGCTGTTGTACCATGTAAAACTGTTGTCTCTCAAATATTAAAGCACAGTATTATCCTTTGGAGTGGTAGCATACTTGAAGGCGAGGACATCTCATAAGGAAGTGGCACAAGCTGTCTCCTTGGGTGGGGGTTTGTTCACTGGCAGGTGCTCTAAGGCTGGGGTGAGATGTTGGGTTGCTTTTCTGGGACAGTAGTTGCTGTTGTTCCCAGATGAGTCCCCATTTGTTGACTTTGGAAGCAAAAAAACCCCTCAAGATCTGGTGTCATCATCTTTCTTTATGGTCCTTGGTGCCAGAGGGATCAGTGGGGCAGGACAGCAGGTGGCAATGGCTGCTCTGGAGTGGCTGTTGCATGCATTGAGATTCACATAAACTTACAGACCTCTTGTATGCTGCTTGAGCCATTCGGGATGCCTCATCACACTTTACTGAGGAAATAACTGGTTCCTGGCCAGATGTTCAAGCTACCTGAACAAATGTATCCTAACAATTGACAAGATGTAGGTGTGACAAGAGACCTTGAAGCTGAAGTCTTGGTTGGGTTACCCCACTGTGTGCCATGCACAGCAACGAGCTCAACCTGTGCCAGTAGAAGCTGTACTGCTCCTTTGGGGTGGGGAAGCTGTTTGAAAGGCACTCCTGCTGTCCTCTTAGGATGCAGATATTGCTGAAGTACAGGGGCAAAAAAAGGCAAAATTTACAGCGTTGAGGCTCCCAAGGACCATCGTAGCCAAAGCTTTGCCAAGGGGCAGTGCTGAGGGAAGGGGAACTGCAGAGGCTGCACTTGGGTATGTTCGTATACACATGGACAGCATGCAGCTGCCCTGTCACTTCTCAGCACGCAGAGCCACCAGAAGGAAAGCAGACCATGCCTGCATGCTCCAGGGAAGTCCTTTTGCAGCTCTTTCGCACTTAATGTTTGCTCTTCTCTATTGCCAGGCACTTCCAAGGGGTGGATGGTGTCTGTGCTGCGGCTGGAGCTGTGACTGCACCAACAGAGGAGTGTGACCTGCTGCAAGCTGCCAACCCCTTGTGAAGGGTGCATTGGCCCAGGCTTTCCTGCTGCTTGGATGAGAAAAGGAGAGAAAAAAGGAAGACATTAAATGCCTGTGTGAAAATTAACCCTATCCCAGCCAAAACCAGCACAGCTTCTTTTTGAGAAGAGAAGGCTCCAGGGGGACCTTATAACAGTCTTCCAATACCTAAAGCGCTACAAGAAATCGGGAGAAGGACTTTTGGCAAGGGCCTGTAGGGACAGGACAAGGGGGAATAGCTTTAATCTGACAGAGGGCAGATTTAGATTAGATATTGGGAAGAAGCTCTCCCCTGTGAGGGTGCTGAGGCGCTGGCACAGGGTGCCCAGAGAAGCTGTGGCTGCCCCATCCCTGGCAGTGTTCAAGGCCAGGTTGGACACAGGGGCTTGGAGCAACCTGCTCTAGTGGAAGGTGTCCCTGCCCACAGCAGGGGGTTGGAACTGGATAATCCTTAGGGTCCCTTCCAACCCAAACCATTCTGTGATTCTTAAGTCTCTTCTCTGTGCTGAAGCACAAGATGAACCAGGCAACCAGAAATGGTTTTGGGCTGCAGGCAGGGATGGGAATGTTCTGGTACAGCGTAGCTTTGTGGGTGAATGCTGTGCCAGTCAGAAAGCCTCCAGCTGCGTGGGGTTTTATTATTTTGTTTTCTTTTTTCCCAAATGGTCTGTCCTATTTGGAAATAACCCTCCCGGGAAGCCCCAGGAGCATTGTCAAGAATTGCCTTTGTGGTGAAGCTGAGTTACTTCTTTCTCATGGTTGTATATTGAAGCCAGAGACTGTCGTGGGAAATGGCCTATTTGTTAAAATGGGCGCTTTTGCAGGACATTTTCTATCCCCTTGTCTTTATGTTTTGTTTGTTTATTGGGTTTTTTTAGGTGTGGGGTTGGAAGGAGCCTTCCTGGTTTTGTGATCATGGGAAAATCATTTTTTGTTGAGGTGAAAAAATATTCAGCTTGAAAGTGTTTGCAGCTCAAACGAATAAAAAAAGAAACCCTCAACAAAACAGAAGAGAGCAGTAGCCAAACCTGTGAAAGACCCAAAATCTGCAAGTAAAGTGACATCCTCCCATCCCTAACCTACCACATCTCCCAAGATCCCACCTGCTTTATCATGTGCTTTATTAATTCCCTGATGCTTTCCAGGGGTATGCATGGCTTCTCAAGGGTTTTTTTCCTCGGGAGTCTCCATATAAACAGCCTTTTTTGTTTTGGGTTTTGTGGGGTTTTTTTGTTTATTCATTTCTTTGTGGGTTTTTTGTTTGGTTTTTTCCCCCCCACCATCGCTGTGGTTTACTTTTGGATGTCTCCCATCTACTCCTGCACATGTGCTGTGTGGATTGACCAGTCAGCGAGTCCCTGTGCCATGTATGACCTGTGTCAGGCCCCTGGCACAGGCCGTTTGGTCCTCTCCCATTGGGTTCCACCTCTAGGTGCAGGTTCACAGAATCACAGAATGGTTTGGGTTGGAAGGGACCTTAAGGATCATCTAATTCCATCTTCCTGCCACAGGCAGGGACACCTACTAGAGCAGGCTGCTCAAAGCCCCTGTGTCCAACCTGGCCTTGAACACTGCCAGGGATGGGGCAGCCACAGCTTCTCTGGGCACTCTGTGCCATGGTCGCAGCACCCTCACAGGGGAGAGCTTCTTCCTGATATTTAATCTACACCTCCCTCTGTCAGTTTAAAGCCATTCCCCTTTGTCAAAAGCTCCACTCCAGATTTCTTGTTGCCCCCTTTAGCCACTGGAAGGCTACTTTGAGGTCTCCCTGGAGCCTTCTCTTCTCCAGGCTGACCAAGCCCAGCTCTCTCAGCCCATCTCTGTAGAAGAGGTGCTCCAGCCTTCTGAGCATCTTTGTGGAGAGTCCCAGAATCTCTTCAAAGCACCCTCTTGCACACAAAATTGGCCAGGTAG